ATTTTTAGATTAACCACTACATATTTCAACCTTATGGTTTTGCTCTTGGGGAGGGGGAATCAGTTCTAATCAGAAAAGAAATCCTTCATTATGATAACAGTTCTGTTACATAGAGGGCTTAAGGAAAATGCAAATTAAAAGAGGAAATAGAGCAAAAGTAAAAGGGATTTACCCCTTTATGTGCATGCAATTAGCACAACATTGATGGGAAATTGCAATTGTGATTGTGCTTAGTGTGGATTTGTGTCCTCTGAGTGAATTTAATTGCATTGTCTATTTTCTGGTATGCTGTAATAATCTTATTTCTTTATTATTAATAATACAACATAACTAGTTCATTAAATTATTTACAAAAAGATATATAACTTGAATTTTTTTTCTCCTAACAAAACACAGCTCTGAAAATCAAAACAAGATGATAGAAATTCTACCTGATAACTGAAATATGTTCCGACAATGTTTACAGTCAATAGAAAATAAAAGTTCCCTCGAACTCTCTGTTTTTGCTGTCCATTAAATATCCTCATTTGCCACTTTCTCCTGCCTGCTGTTTTTAACATCACATGAGCTGAGGTAATCAGAAAGAACAATGTGACTGCTTTGTCACAGCAACAATATCACTTTCACTCCTGCAACTGGAGCTGCTTTGATTCCTGCTGAAAGGGGAACACATAGAGTTGTGTTTATCCTTTTGTCTCTTTCCTCTGCTGTACTCTAGTCTGCCTCCCACTTCATCTCCTATTCACTTTCAGGTGCCACCAACAGTTAAATGAAAAAAGACAAAGCATGATTTTTTTTTGTTGGTAAAAACATAATTCTGTGTCATTTTAAAGGGACGTGGAGGTATTTAAAATAATTTTAATTTATAGCAAATGTTCTGAAACAGAGGTAAGATTCATCATTGTCATCCTGAAGATCAATAGCCAATTTTACCCTGATGTGATGAACATGCCTTCCAGCTGACTTTACGTGTATCTGGTCATGTGTGGAGCCTCCTCAAGGTCGTCTTCACTTTACATTATGCTGTATATGCAAAGAGGTTGTGAGAGGAGGTTTTGGGGGGAGATAACAAGCTGGGGTAAGATTACTTCTTCATGGTCTTTAAGGATTTAACATCTATAATCTCTACAGCTTAGAAGACCTTTTACATATGATTGAAGTGCTGATATTATCTTGGCCACATACATTTATCTGTGGAGTAGTAATGCGATAATGTAAATAATGTAATGACTTATTATCAGCTGATACTGATAAAAAAAATATCTTCATTAACTATTTTTGATTATTATTATTTTTCCTTTCTTTGGTCACTTACTTAAGTTGAGAAAGAGCTTTTGATTTACATGTTGTTTACATGTCCTCATTGAACTAAATCCTGTCATTACAACCTCAGTTTCCAGTGATAATTTTAGATCCTTACCACCTAACCAAACAACCTTCTCACCCACACTTCATAAATATAAACAGCCTGATTTAACATCAATGCATTTTTACAAATATATCATCCTGAAACATGATTTCTAAAAACATGTGAGGCATACCTTATTTAGTAAGTATATTTCTACTGTCTGTGTTTATGCATCTCTTCTGTTTGTCTTTCTGTCCTACCCATATTCCTTTTCTACACACTCACAAACATACTTTTACTTGGATAAGATGATGAATGCATTTGTGAATGACCTTCTTCCCTGTTTTTATGTTGCGTTTGTCTTTGTTTTCACAAGTGTGTAGATTATTTAAAACTTGATCTTTTATGCTACGTTGGCAGCAACGTTGAAAATAAATCTCAATTTCCTTTGTAACCTTTGGCGGCATTGCAGTAGCACTGGATGAAAGATTGGTATTATTTGTCTATAAATCAAAATGAAAATTGCCCCCTTCTACAAATGACTGAATATAAAGTTGACATCTTCACATTATAGCGGTTGATTTGGTATTGTGAGCTACACAGTATTTTTCCCTGGCAGTTTATTTGAAGGAAACGGGGCAAAGCTAAATGAAATACTTTTTTGTCTGTCTTTTGTTCATGGGAATGAGTAATGCGTCAAGTGCCAGTATTACAGAGCTCATCAATAACTGAAGGATGTTGACCAGGAGTTTATTCGTGCTGTCTGTGTTATTCACACAAGTTAACTTCTTGTCTTTCAAATAGCTTTCATCTTAGTTGTACTCTTTTGTGTCCTCCTTGCGTCACTCAACCTTTGCAGTTGAGCTTAACTATCTGTTGCTTGACAAAAGGATAGTCAGCTTAATCATACAGCAGACAATTTACTATTTATTTATTTATTTATTTCATTTTATTTTTTTGAGAAACTACCTAAGAAGAGAGCAAGTGTCAGACAGATTCTTTTTCTGCCATCGACAGACACCGGCAGGCCTTGCTAACAGGAGTCATTAGAATAATTTTACCTGTTTCAGAAATTCTCTCTGTCTCGAAATATGGAATATACAACCCCCTCTATCCTCTCTGTTTCTCCTCTGATCCACTTCAAATGTGTATTCAGAAGGCGCTACTGTTGCCATGTTTTGTCCCCTGAAAATAGCAGCATTATTTGTGTGGTAATTTTTACTAATGATATCCCTAAAGGATCCATGCTAGATTCTGTAGACACTAGATTATTAGAACTAAGGAGGGTAGTGATACTGATGTATATGCATTTCTAAAAAGCATAAACTTGCCTGTAGAATCAAACAATGTATAAATAAGTTTGTTCAGAACACTATATACCATTCAACTGCCACAGTTATGTGTGCCAGCTTGTCTCAAGGATAAGTAATTCCCATGGAAACAATAGTCTGTATTGTAGTCCCATGGCTTCACTCTGATTCTGTAAATGGCTCCCCTGAAACACCACCACAGTTAGCTGGACCCACTGTTTCTTGTCTACCAGGGTTTCTATGATCAGTGTAACAGCCACATTATTACCCAATCACTCATACCACAAGCATGAATCACAAGCCACAATGAATGAAAAAGGCCTTCCAATGGTGATTTGTGATAAATTTGTGTGAATGTAATTGTTTCTTCTATTGCATCCATCTGCCCACCTCCCATGCTGTTCATTTTTCCTTTTTCACCATTAGCGGGGCTGAAATCATAGTGACAGGAGCATGTGGATCTCAGAGGTCCTATCAGTGGAGGAACAGGCTATGTGATAGTGTGGTTTTCACACTGTCATTCCCAGGAGTCAGTTCTGTGAGAATTGAGGAGGAGGCATTGTGAATCTGCCAGTCACTGGATCCATCCAGGCAGCCAAAGTCTAATAATGACAGTGACCTCACCCCTTACTCTTACTGTATTGCTTCTCGACTGATCGCAGCAAACACTTTGTGTGTGTCTATGAATTTGTGTGTGTGTGTGTGTGTGTTTTCCGGTGGGAATTCACTTTAAATACCTTCGTATGTGGGTTGATGGTTGTTTCACTATGCTGGGTATGTGATCCACCAGCTTGCAATCCAGTTCTATTGTCAGAAAAAGAGTAAATGCAAGCTATGGAAATGATGTAAAGCAAGGCGAGGTGGATCCTTTTGTCACCATGGACACGTCTCTTGACATTTTGTCCATTAGCCCACTCCTCACTCCCTCAGCACTTCAATTACAGTCTAGTGGATGGACTAACCTTGAAGATGTGGAGTTAGTATGGGATAAATAATATAAGTTGTTAAATAGCACTTTCCTTATTGGTGCATATTTTGGTTATCAGTTAGTGTTTCCAGCAAATAAAGTAGAATGAACTGGTCACTGGTGATGATTGGCCAAAGGTTGGTCATATCATTGTATACGACCAACCATCATATACAGTATGTCACTTGCAGTTTCATAGACACAAGTAATTCAAAATTCAAAACAACATCATTCTGGACTATTGTTGAACAATGGACTACATCATTCGTGCAGCATCTCATGACCTTTCATCTTGCTAGGCAAGGATCCAACTGAGTTTGAAAGAGTGATCTTTCACTATCTTCACCATAAGCCCAAATTCTGGTTACTCTTATATAGCTACTCATCTTCCTTGTGCAGCACAGTTTTGGTTTTCATCATAATAAGGGTAAACAAAGGTGTCAATTAGGCTTTGCAGTGATCTGCCCTCTGTTGAAAACTTGTTTTTGTTTCCATCGTTTTCATCTTTTGTCTGAATTTTCAGTTTTGTGTGTCAAAGGCCAAGGGTTTTAGTTGTAAAAGAATAACAAGCATTTTACATTGGAAATACATTGCATGCTGTAGTAAAAAGCTGTTTTCATTCAAGTATTCTAGGATGTTTAATGCAGTCAATATTGCAGTGAATTGACAAAGCCTGTGAAATATAATAAACTGCATGACTGCAATTCATATATTCACAATGTGAAAAGGGATCAAGGCACATGTTTAAGTGACTGCTTATAACTTAAAGTAATGGGGTTTATTTTCTTTTCTGAGAGCAGTTATTTTTAAACTCTGTGTGTGTGTGTGTGTGTGTGTGTGTGTGTGTGTGTGTGTGTGTGTGTGTGTGTGTGTGTGTGTGTGTGTGTGTGTGTGTGTGTGTGTGTGTGTGTGCGTGTGCGCAAGGGATTTTGTGCATGTGTGTGTCAATAAGACTAAACCCTTAACAGCAACCTAAACATGGTACTGCATCTATGCCCCTGTCCTGTCTGATCCCTTAAGACGCTGCTTGCTGTTTGAAGTCTCCACTTGAAAGGCCGGATCTGAATACTGTGGATTCCACAGCAGCTCTGCAATCAGTGATTACAGACTGATTAATGAGCCACTGTAGACACACACACACTGTACACATATTCGCAGGTGCTCGCTTTCTAGGCCACACGCAAATGGATTATGTAGGAGTCAGTATGTCACAACATACACACATACTCAGTTACAGCTGTTTCTTATTTAAACTTCAAGAGATTTTTTAGGGATCTGTGTTGTTTTTATTATGTTCCATTAACGGACACATTTTGATAAAATGTTGTGACTAATCAATTAATTATGTATCTTTTTGTTGCTTTTTTGTCTACAGTGTCGGCTGAGATCTTAAAGAGCAGTTTGACTACCATGGAGCGTCACATTCAGAGGCTTGAGAGCGACATCGAGAACTTCCCCAAAACAGATGACCGGCAAGATAAGTTTGTGGAAAAGATGTCAATATCCTTTTTTAGTGTGGTCATTTTCATTCCTCACATAGGTTTATACTTAAATTTGCCTCTTGAAAAGCATATGTAACTGGCATATTAGGACACCGTATGTACCATTTTGTGGACAGCGGTGGCAAAGCTGTGTGCCGTTTGTGTTCTGCCTGGCAGTGGGTAAGCAGTTTAAGTCACTTGGTGTGATAGGTGGCACCCAAGGGAACTTAGGGAATGGATCTGGCTGCCTTGCTGTGAGATGTTGATCAGATCTCCCTCTTCACTCTTCCCTGGGTCCCAAGAGTGAAATCATGCCTGTGGCTATTTTTACTGCACTCTGCCACCACTGCCTGTCCCCTGGGGTACTCTAATAGGGGCTCTAGCCCCTCACACCAACTTATCGCCTATCCCTGATTTCATCTCCTGACCGGCCACGAGCCTCTCCACACAACCATCCGTGCGTTATCTTCTCTCATGGCACCTCTCCTGTTTCGATAACAGAGTGTTTCCAAGCATATCTGCTCCCAAATTGAATTAGCCATGTCTCTGCACTTTCGTGAATGCCCTTTCTGAGAGGAAAGGTCTTCACTGTATAGGTTTGATCAATGGTGGAAAATAAAGTCTCTTGTCAATACCCTGTGGCTAGGGTGCTTTTCATGGAAACAACAGTAAAGCAGTCAGCGGTTTGATTCTGCCATTATTAAGCAAAGAAAGAATTACTCGAGTAATTTAACAAGTGAGTAGGTGTCTCCATATGTTAGGTGCTCACATGCAAGCAGCATTTAACCTGAATTTTGCTTCCTTTTGTCTGAGATTTATTAAGGCTGACTTTGCACATTGGGTGGTATAAGCGTAATAGCCTCCTAACACATTAACAATCTGCTCCCAGTCAAAGAAAGGCACTTAAATTTGTATAATTAAAAAAACTGAAGCAGGGACCTCCCTGGCGGTGGCTTGGAGGCAGAGCAGACAGACAAGAAAGCTGCTCTGCCCCCCCCCCCCCCCCCCCCCCCCCCCCCCCCCCCCCCCCCCCCCCCCCCCCCCCCCCCCCCCCCCCCCCCCCCCCCCCCCCCCCCCCCCCCCCCCCCCCCCCCCCCCCCCCCCCCCCCCCCCCCCCCCCCCCCCCCCCCCCCCCCGAAGTCTGTATTGATTCTCAGGGTCCTTCGAGAACTAGAGGCTTGAGTGAGAGGAAATGGAGAAGTGTAGATATACTGCAACATGGCTCTCCCTCACTGTCTGGAGTTCCTCCCCAGAGAGTGGCAGAAAGAAGCTGGCTGGCCATGACCTGAAACACCCCACTTCCTCCTCTTTCCCTTTTCCCCTATCTCACCTGATTGAGTTTTGGAGCCAGGAGGCTTAGTAGGATTTAAAAAGATCTGTTTTGGTCCTTGCCGTATTCAAAGTAGTTACCAATAGGAAAGCAATGAGAATCACATATATTTCATTTGTCATCTGTGTTGTGGTTCCATTTTTGGAGCACAGTAGCTTCCCTCCTCTTGGTTTTACAAGTGGCAGAATTGTTATAGTTATACATCATTTTTGATTGTGATTTTCACTTTTCTGTTTTTCGGGATGCAGACACATTGAGACACAGAAAGGAGTCAAATTATGAAAAGTTCATGCTCGTTTGTTCTCTCTGTTAGCTCCCTGGAGTGTTTGATCTGCACTTCATCTACTGTGTATAATAAAGTGATACAATTAATAATAATGCTGTCATAATAACACGGTGTGAGGAAAAGCTTTATTTCGACTGTGTGGGAGAAATCTGGTTCAGATTATTTTGTCCCATGTATCAGGAAGCACACGTTTTCTTTATTTTCCTTGTGATGTAGGTAATAAAAGGACACTAGAAGTATGCAATCACATTTTGTTCAATGCCTCTGGAATCGCTGTGGGTCTGTCTGTTACAGTAGGACATTTGTGTATGTGTGTGTATACATGTAAGTCTCAATTTAACCCACTTCTCTGAAGCCTGTCACCCGGGGCAATATTTTCTACCATTTTAAACGTCCTAAGATATCAGATGTCGGGCTGCTTTTGTGAAAGCGAGCACAGTGATGGAAATTAAATCACATACACATGGAGCAAACAGAGAGATAAAGAGATAGAAAGCGGAGGCTGTGCTTGATTTGCCGAGGTTTTTAGTACCAGTGTTTGCAATGAGCTTAGGTAGCACTCTAATCTGTGTTGCACAGCTAAGTGTTGGAACAAGGACAGTGTGAAATACAGTGCTGTATATTTCGGGTTGACATTTCCTTTGGTACACATAAGATAGCAGAGTCAAGGCAAACATACCTTTTTAAACTTTTCCCTGGGATTAAAAAAAGGATGTTCTTTCCTTGAAGCATGACAGATGGAAGAACAACAACAGCTAAAAGTCATGCATTTGATGCTTGAGCAACCCTGAAAAAGTTAAGTGAAGCTCTGTTGTCTTGACTGTTGGGCACTGTGATGAATGAGTCAGTCTGCGTTTGTGTGTGTGTGTGCGTGTGTGCGTGTGTGTGTGTGTGTGCGTGTGTGCGTGTGTGTGTGTGTGTGCGTGCGTGTGCTGGCATGTGTGTTACAGAGAGAGAGGGAGGGGGAGAAAGGGAGAGAGAGTAATTTACAGTGCATGTGTAGGTGACTACATGTCCCTCTGTTTCACTGTGACTCTTGTCAGCTTATTAGATTAATTTCAGGAGGCCATGGTCACTGCAAGGTATTTTAAATATAATGTGTGCCCCAAAGCAGCATAGTTTTAATTAATCCTTCAACAATAAATTATGTTTGTTTTTTCTCACCATGCATGATTAGTGTTCCTAATTTGTTTGGGCTTCAGAAATTTCAGGCTTTACACAAAAGATAAATTTCTTGTGCAAACTATTTTAGAGAATCTGTCATCTTTATCAGTCATCTGTTGTACCTTTCAGAGGAAATCAGTCCGTGAAATAAGAGGAGAAGAAAGTCACCATTGTAGATCAGTAGCAGTTATGAAATACTGAAAGAAAGAAATGCGGACAGAAAAACATTTAGAAAGAAGAAATATGGAAAGAAAGGCCGAAAGAGTGGAAAAAAGAAAGACGGAAGGAGGGGAAGGAAGAAAGAAAGAGAGAGAGAGAGAGTAGAGCTTAGTGGAAGCACTTCATTTGGCTTTATTGATACATTTTTCTCTTTCCATTACTGTAATGTATGCAAATGACCGAATGGGGTGTTTGTTCAGCAGTTTAGTGATCTCTATCTGTCAGAAGTAATGGGAGCCCACAAAGGCTGTAGAGTTGAGGCACAAGCCCCCAGAGAGCCCTATTTCACCAGAGAGGCTATGGCTATCACATGCACACACACACACACACACACACACACACACACACACACGCATGCACCCACCCATTTCCTGTTGCTGTTGGATATGATAGAGTAGGGCTGGGGGCTTAGAGCGGGACTCTGCATACTGGAATATTAATGGTAGTGAGGTGGCTCGATAGGCATGATGAGAGACTGGACTGAACCTTGATGGATGCCTGGACATATCCAATACATCTCCCCCCACTATTCTCACTTAACCCAACCTAGTGATATTTAGCTTAATCTTTTATTTCCCACAAGGCCAGAAGAGTCGCACGTCACTGTTAATCTGTCTTAATTTTTCCTGTGCAATGTGAGTAAGACAGTTTCATGAAAATAAAAACTGACTCATTTTAGGCTTGAAATATAAGTCACCCTATATACCCCCAAGCTAACACTATAACGAAGAGTGGTGTTTCCATGGTAACAATTATAGTGAAAATTTGCGTCAACTGACAGAAAAGAGGGAAGCATTGTGCTTTGTGGATACTAGCAGTGTTTTTGTGTCTTTAGCATTTTCTGTGGTCATCTTCTTGTTTAGGGATTTTTTGTTTTATTTCATTTTACAAGTCTTTACACAACCTATCACGTGTCATATCTTTTTAACACCTGTGATTCTCCTGATTAGCTCTTTCTCTCTTTTTCCCTAAATCATTTTTTGTCTGTGTGTCTGCGTGTTTGTGTGTCTGTATGGCATTGTTACAGTCATTGAGTTTCCCTAGTAAAATGTCCTTGTAGCTGCTGAATTCTTCCACAAGCCTGGGTGAATGAAACTGAGTGACTTGAAGCCATTGCTCATGGCCATGTTTTTAGTATGAAAATATTCATGATTTTCCCATAATTCTTAGCAAATTAGTCCTTAAGATAGTCAAGTCAAGGCCAGGACAGTATTGTCCAACTGATGAGCTTAGATAACTGTCTGGAGTCGCTATGTTAAATCTAAGCCACAGTCAAACTACTTCTGACCCAAGGGGGTATCTTTTTTCCTGTAAAAAATATTTATACTCAATTACCCTGCAATCATTCTATTCCTAGTGTTTTCTATCATATTGACAGCTTCCTTGACAATTTCCTGCCTAAAGAAAAGCAGGCGTTCAGGCAGCAATTCAGATCTACAGTACTTATCAGACACCTTCTATACAGCATGTTCAAGGCAGGACTGCTGACCCTTTATTCCACCTTGCTATATGTATAAAAGGTATGAACAGGGACTGTGGGGGCATTGTTGTTCCAGCATAAAGCCGGCAGGGAGGTAGTCACAGAGGAAGCAAGTAAAATAAGCAAAGCCTGCATAATTAAGGGTCTTCTTCATGGCGATATGGCAGGATCTGTTTAAATGGGGCTATTGATACCTTTTGGTGAATTGTCCTGGAATCTTACAAAGGCCACACACCTATCAGTGCCAGTTTCTCACACCAACTTAGCCCTTCCACACAAGGTCAGGCCAGACACACTTTTTCCCTGCCCCAGGGCTAGCCTGTAATACCACGTTTATGGCTTAAAAATCGACAGATGCATTTATACAGGTACCTCCTTTCTGTTGTTCTGAGAGACTGCAGCCTGATTTAGTTCACACTTCAAAGGAAGAGGTTCACAACAATGTGTTTATGGATGGCCCTTGTCAAAGAGCAACAGTCAGAGACTCTGTTGGCTTCAGGCTAGGTTTGTGTACAGGTGCAGCATTCTCTTGTATCAGCA